TGCTATGAGAAACTTTCATCTAGCATTAACAGATGAAGTATTGTTAAGCATCGAGGAGAAGAAGACATCTAAGGAGATATAGGATCATCTCACCAAATTGTACGAGGCCACATCGCTGCAATAAAATTTTCCTTAAGAGAAAATTGTACATTCTCCGTATGCCAGAATCTACTTCAGTTACGGAGCACTTAAATACACTGAACACTTTATTTTCTCAGCTTACATCCTTAAGCTGTAAAATAAGAGAACAAGAACGTGCTGAACTTCTACTTCAAAGTCTACCGGATTCGTATGATCAACTCATCATCAACTTGACAAATAGTAATGTCACTAGTCTAGTCTTCGATGACGTTGCAGCTGCTGTTCTACAAGAAGAAAATTGGTGCAAGAACAAGGAAGACAAACAAGTAAATCTGCAACAAGCAAAAACATTGACAATGATGACAACGATGAGAGGGAGATCAACAGAACGTGGCCAAAGCAGCAGTCACAAATATGGTAGATCGAAGTCGAGGAGCAAGAAGAATTTAAAGTGTTACAACTGTGGAAATAAGGGTTATTTGAAGAAGGATTGTTGGAGTCTAAATAAAAATTCCAATCCACAAGGCAATACCGCAAACACTTCAGATGATGGAGATGTTCTATGATGTGAAGCGTCAACCACTGTGGAAGGTAGAAAAAGATTTGCAGATATATGACTCATTGATCCAGGAGCAACATATCACATGACCTCAAGAAGAGAATGGTTCCATCATTATGAACCTGTCTCAGGAGGATCTGTGTATAGTTCCAATGATCATGCCTTAGAGATCGTTGGCGTATGAACCATCAAATTGATGATGTATGATGGAACAATTAAAGTTGTTCGAGATGTGCAGCACGTGAAAGGCCTGAAGAAAAATTTATTATCCTACAGATTGTTGGATAATAATGCAAGCAAAATTGAAACACGAAAATGAATCATGAAGGTGTTCCGTGGAGCGCTTATGGTGCTGAAAGACGAAAAGATAGCAGCAAACTTGTACATGCTGAAGGGAGAGACTGTGCTAGAAGCAGAAGCCTCTGTTGCCTCATATAGTTCAAATTCTGCAATGTTATGGCATCATAAACTTGGACACATGTCAGAACAAGGAATGAAAGTCCTTGTAGAACAAAAGCTACTTCCAGGCTTAACAAAGGTATCATTGCCTTTGTGTGAGCATTGTATAACAAGTAAGAAACACTGGTTGAAATTCAACACATCAAATTCTAGAGGTAAAAATGTTCTAGAATTGGTTCACTCTGATGTATGACAAGCACCAGTTACATCCCTAGGCTGAGCAAAATATTTTGTCTCATTTATTGATGACTACCCAGGAGATGTTGGGTGTACCCTATTAAAAAGAAGTTAGACGTGTTTTTAACTTTCAAAAACTTAAAAGCGCGGGTGGAACTTGATTCTGGAAATAAGATCAAGTGTTTCAGAACAGATAATGGAGGAGAATACACAAGCGAAGAATTTGATGACTTTTGCAGGAAAGAAGGCATCAAAAGACAGTTCACAGTGGTGAACACTCCTCAACAAAATGGAGTGGCAGAGCGGATGAACAGAACCTTGTTAGAAAAAACAAGAGCAATGTTGAGGGATGCATGCCTAGAAAAATCATTTTGGCAGAAGCAATCAATACCGCCTGTTATTTGGTGAATCGAGCTCCATCAACTGCAATAGAGCTGAAGACACAAATGGAGATGTGGACTGGTAAACCAGCTGATTATTCAAACCTCTATGTATTTGGAAGTATTGTATACGTGATGTACAACTCCCACAAATTTCAAAGTTGGATCCAAAATCCAGGAAATACAAATTCTTTGGGTATGTTGATGGTGTAAAGGGGTATCGCTTGTGGGATCCCACTGCCCGCAAAGTGATCATCAGTAGAGATGTTATCTTTGTAGAATATAAACTACAAAGAAAAGAAGATGATGATAGTGCTGAAAAGTCAGAGACTACACATATACATGTGGAAAAGGAGTTTGAACAAGGAGATTCTTCTGAAGCAGAACCAACACATGATGAACAAGAACCAGAGAGTTCTGAAGCTCCAACAACTCGTCAATCATATCGTGTAAGAACACGCCCCAATTGGCACTCAAATTATGTTATAGAAGGAAATATTGCATACTGCCTTTTAACAGAGGACGGTGAGCCATCAACATACGAGGAGGCAATAAACAGCTCAGATGCTTCACTGTGGATGATGGCGATGCAAGAAGAAATAGAAGCCCTTCATAAAAATAATACATGAAACCTTGTGCCACTACCACAAGGAATAAAGCCAATTGATAACAAACGGTCTTCAAAATCAAGCGAAATGGTGATGATCAAGTGGAGAGGTATCATGCAAGACTGGTGGTCAAAGGATATGCTCAAAAAGAAGGTACTGATTTCAATGAAATATTTTCTCCCGTGGTTCGACTAACAACAGTTCGAGTAATCTTGGCAATGTGTGCTACATTGAATTTACATCTAGAGCAACTAGATGTTAAAACAGCTTTTCTTCATGGAAATCTTTAAGAAGAAATTTACATGCTCCAGCCTGAAGGTTTTAAAGAAAAAGAAAAGAAGAACTTGGTTTGTAGGTTGAACAAATCTATGTACGGTCTAAAGCAGACACCGAGGTGTTGGTATAAGAGATTTGATTATTTCATTATGTGCCTTGGATACAACAGACTTAATGCAGACCCTTGTGTTTATTTCAAGAGGTCTGGTGATAACGATTTTGTTATATTGTTGTTGTATGTGGATGACATGTTGGTTGCAGGACCCAACAAAGATCATATTGAAGAATTGAAGGCACAACTGGCTAGGGAATTTGAAATTAAGGACTTGGGATCAGCAAATAAGATTTTGGGGATGCAAATTCACCGAGATAGAAGTAATAGGAAGATTTGGATTTCACAAAAGAATTACTTGAAGAAGATATTTCACGATTCACATGCAAGATTGTAAGCCAATTTCTACCCCTCTTCCTATTAACTTCAAATTATCCTCCAGTATAAGTCCTAGCAGTGAAGAAGAGAGGATGGAGATATCTCGAGTACCGTATGCATCAGCAGTGGGAAGTTTAATGTTCGCTATGATATGCACAAGACCAGACATTACATAAGCAGTGTGAGTGGTTAGTCTGTACATGGAGAATCCAGACAAAGAGAATTGGAATACAGTAAAGAGGATCCTGAGATACATCAAAGGGACCTCAAATATTGTATTATGTTACGGAGGATCAAACTTACTAATCAATGAGTATGTAGATTCTGACTATGCAGGGGATTTGGATAAAAGCAAATCTACTACATGATATGTGTTCAAAATTGCTGGTGGAGCTGTAAGCTGGGTTTCAAAATTGCAGTCAGTTGTGGCTACATCCACAACAGAGGCAGAATATGTAGCAGCTACATAAGCCAGTAAAGAAGCAATTTGGTTGAAGATGCTATTGGAGGAGTTTGGGCACAATTAAGAGTATGTCTCTCTGTTTTGTGTCAGTCAAAGCGCCTTGCATCTAGCAAGGAATCCAATATTTCATTCAATGACAAAGCACATATGAGTTCAGTACCATTTCATTCGTGAAAAGGTGGAAGAATGGACGGTAAATATGCAGAAGATCCATACCAAAGACAACATACATTTCATGACAAATACGATCAATGCTGATAAATTTACTTGGTCTCGATCCTCTTGTGGCTTGTCAGAGACATAAGAAACATGATGGTACAAGGTAGAAAGAATGGTGTGAAGATATGATTGTTCCAATCAAATCTTCAAGTGGGAGATTATTGAAAAACGGTGCCATGTGCACCGAAAGCACCAATTGATTTGTCAAAAGGGGGCACCGAAAGGTGCAAAAATATTGATTTTTTATGGTAAAATCATAATTTAGTCATTATAATTTAGGGTATTTACAAATTAGTCCTTAAGCTTCAACTATAAATACCCTAGCTCATTTAGCTTCAAAACCATCCCAAAGCAATTTAGCTTTCTTCCAATACTAGAGAGAATTTCTTGAGAGTTGTTTTATCCTTTTTATTAAGAGAGAATTATCATTGTTTTCTCCTTGGTAGATCGAGAGAAGTTGTAATTCCTATTTTCTCATAGTGAAATTCTTCTACCGTTTCCCGTGGTTTTTACCCTATATTATTTAGGGGTTTTCCACGTAAATTTTGTGTCTCTTTTATGTTCATTTTTTTTCTCAAATTATCAGTTGTGATTTTGCTCTATCCTATAGCCGTCTTCCGCAACATCATTTACAACATTAGTGATTATACATTTTGCTTTGGACATGAGCTTTAAGATTGCATAAATTATCTTTTGTTTTCATCATATAAATTGTCTCTTGATAAACCCCGTAAGTACCAAGTAATTCATCAAGCCACATACATTTGCAAGGCAATGAAAAATATTCAAAATCACATAAACCATAAAAGACAAGCTTTTATGATTATGCATATCATACGGGCATTAAAATGCCTCAAAAGGCTGAAACATAGGGTTCATCATAGAGATCAAAGATGTGATATGTGATAATAGGCTCTTTAAAAGATGATAATATGGTACTTAAAATTATCACCACCGAGCAGAAACAACAATAGTAGCCATATGTTTTGTCAGAGTCTGCTGAAGTTTTTCTTTCTTAGTGTCAACCACTCTGTCAATTCAAATGATTATAGATTAAATTTTATAATATCACACTTAATATATTAATATTTAGTTAAAAAATATAATTAATTTTTAATAATAAATAATGAATTTAAATATTTAAATAATCAATAATTATTTTATATTTTTTAATAATTATAAAATTCAACGAAATAACTTTATACGATCAAGAAATTATTTTATATCTTATAATAATAGAATAACTCAATAAAAAACATTCGGGATATTTGTATACTTTGTCCTTTATAAATATAGAGAGAGAATCAGGTCTCATAATATTTTTGAAACAGGACCTCAGCCCACCTGAGACATCAGTCTATTTCCGACCTAAACTTCATACGGCGAAGCACCGTCCCTGTGCTCTTGGCTCAGAAACAAAAAACTTATATAACTTCCATAATTAAAATGCCGATAAGCTCAGGAGCCACCACGCCGCCGGTACCACCCTCCAATGAAACCCTAGAGTCTCGGAGTTTCTGGAAGGCCGGGAATTATGTCGTTGCCCCCTCTTCCAAACCTGCTCTGCTACAAGGTTAGCCTTTTCTTTTCTATTTTCACTTAATTTTCATGCATCAAATAATTTTTCGTTTTTTTAATCGGCTTTAGCTTTTCTTCTTCTTTTGATTCCAAGGCTCATTGGAGCATGCTCGTGTACATCCCAAGTTTCTTCATTCAAATGCGACGTCGCATAAGTGGGCGTTTGGAGGTAACTGGAATTCCCACTAGCTGTGTCCTGGAATTTACCTCTTTGTTTATGTTTGTATTAGTAGGATTATAGCCTTTCCCCCCTAAATTTGCAGCAATTGCCGAGCTAATGGACAATGCTGTCGATGAAGTAAGCTTTAATCTGAATCATTTGCCTATTGGTTCTTGGTCACTGTTTTGAATCGGCTTTTGACTGACATTTCTACCTGCCTATATAGATCCAACATGGTGCAACTTTTATTAAGGTTGATAAAATTGATGTAATGAAGTATAAATCTCCAGGTCCAGCTTTACTTTTTATAGGTATGATAATGTTACTTCGGCCTGCTTATTTCAATCCTAGAATGACGGTGGTTTATGACGAAAAATCTGTAACTTCTTGCTTGTATTGCAGATGATGGTGGAGGAATGGATCCTGCACTGATACGGAAATGTATGAGCTTGGGTTATTCTTCTAAGAAATCAAATACAACGATTGGACAATGTAATTCTTATTACTTATCTTGTTTTATATGTTCAGTCCTTGCTCAGTGATTCTGTTTCCCTTTTGTCTATGCTCATTACTGTGGTTACTTTTTTGAAATGATGCTTAATAGAATGACCTGCATTTTTGTGTGCTACATTATGCCTAATATTCGTTCATGATATTTATGTTGATTTTCACATGTGTATGTTTTTGCAGATGGCAATGGATTCAAGACAAGCACCATGCGACTAGGAGCTGATGTTATTGTTTTCAGTCGATCAAATAGGGGAAGGTATTACATTCTTTGCAGTGATACACATTGGTTTCGTTCTTCTATAAAGATGTTTTTACATTCTCTTAAGGAGATTTGCCTTTCATTTTATTTATTCTGTACTAAAAGTTGTCCAGCTCTAATTGGCACTTCTTAATGCATGGAATTTGAAGATGTTATTTCTTTCCTTTTATTTTGTCTTAGAGACTTTAGGCTTTTAGTTTGTGGAACATATGTTTGCCCCTCTATTTCTCGACATATCTATTTTGCTGTTCAGAATGGTACTTCCTTAGGCAGTCAAGTTACCTAGTTTTGAATAAACCTTACAAGGTTAGAAACAGGGGGAAAAAAGGCAAAAGGTGTTATTTCTCTTTTGAATTTATTTGGTCTAGGCTGCTCTGCCCCCTCCAATTTAAATGCTTCTTCTGCTTCTTGTTCTAACTTGAATACCAGTAAATGTTCTTTGACCTATTTTGTTTCTCCACATATGTCCTTAGCAAAGCAACACAGAGCGTGGGACTTCTATCTTACACCTTTCTACGCAGAACCGGACAGGATGATGTCATCGTTCCTATGGTAATTCACTGTGTCCTTAGTATTTTGGGATAATTTTTTATCCTCCTTGTGAGGAGTTACGTTTGAGGATTGGATTAACTCCTAATGTCCACAACTTGAATGCATTGTTGTTTCACTTCTGTTTGCAGATTGATTTTGACATTTCTGGTCATTGGGCGGAGCCAATAATTTACAGCTCACACGATGATTGGTCTTCTAACTTGAAAACTATCTTGGAATGGTCTCCCTTTTCATCAAAGGAAGAGCTGCTGCTACAGGTTGGCAACTATGTTTTCTTAGGCCTGTTTGGGGGTTCCACGATCTAAACTATTTGCCGTGTTCAGATTTTAAAATTGTTTGGCATTAAGGTCATATTCTTACATAGGAAGTAGAATTATAAAGGTCATGCTGGCACTGGTACAATTACTTCCTTGGCAAGTTTTTTGAATGCCTTCCAAACTGCAAATAAAGTTAGCATAAAGCACTAGAAGAGTGGCTAAGCTGCAATAGTCTAGCAGTTTGCGCACTTTTTTTCTAACTAGTTTTTTTCTCTCCTTTTTCCCAGTTTGATGATATCGGACCACATGGAACAGAAATAATAATATACAACTTATGGCTGAATGATGAAGGCATATATGAACTGGCTTTTGATGATGATGATGAGGTATGTGCATGGTGCTGTAAGCAGTGAAATCTGTCTGAGATTTTTCTTGTGGTCTAATTTTAGTAATATACTTTGAGTCTGAGAAGCAAAATGTTCCAGCATTTGTTTGTTTCTGCTCAAACCTAGGCATTGTATCTTCCATGTCTTATGAATGAAAACTTTTGATCATCATGTCCTTATTGTTTTTATGACTTGTTTACATTTGATTATTGTTTTTATGACTTGTTTACATTTGACAAACATAAGAAGTTTAACCTCAAGGCTTTTACTATTTTTTATGTTATTTTTCAAAAGGATATTCGACTGAGAGATGAAGCTCTTCATGGAGCTACTGGGATGCTCAGAAAGACGGTTGAACTTCAGTCCCATATTTCTTACCGCATGCGGTATTCACTGAGGGTAACATGCTAAATTGAACTTCTTTGGTTTAGTTTAATTTCTTGTTACTACATGCTTGAACTTATAACACTTTTCCATGCCTAGGCATATGCTTCAATGCTATACCTCAGAAAATTTAACAACTTCCAAATCATATTAAGAGGGAAACCTGTGCAGCAGTTCAATATTGCTGACGAGTTACAGTATCCAGAAGTTGTAACATACAAACCTCAAGTAGCTACTGGATCAAAAGAGGTAAGAATAAGTTGCTAAGATGTCTTCTGTTGTGTGTAAAATGGATTCCTTTTCCCGCTTCTTTGTTCCCCCTTAAATGCCACAATTTTCGGACAATTGTGTTGTAGTCTCCCTATTATTTTGTTGCACTTCTATTCTTTGCTATCATTATATTGAAGGTTTTGACCTTCAAATTTAATTTTATAGTTGTACTTTAGACGTAATTTTTACTTCGGAAACTTATGAAAATTTTCTTCTGATACAGTCTTCAGTAGAAACTACAATTGGATTTATAAAGGAGGCCCCTATAAGAGTTTCTGGATTTAATGTATACCATAAAAATCGCCTTATCAGGGTATGTATTGATACTGCTCATTTTATCTGTTCTTTTTTTTTTGGATAATTATATACATCTCTCTCTCTCTCTCTTTTCATTTTTCATTTGTGATTTTTTATGATCTTACATTGGATTATTTTTTATAAATAGTGAGACCTCATTAAAAAACCCCTTCATAACCATTGCTGTACAAAAGTACATCAACGAACATTGGAAGGAGGAAAAGAGTCTCAAATGTCATTCCATAAAATAATACATTACACACAACAACCGGCTATTACAACCACCTCCCGACACTCAAACCTCACCTTTGAAACTCCCCTCTGTCCAGTAAAAACTACCCTATCCCTGCCTTAGCCAAGCTGTCAGCCTCACAATTCACAGACCTTTTAACCAACCTAAGGATGACACTATTCTTAATAACAGCATTAGCAATATCCTTTACAAGATATGAAAACAGTGAAGGACACAATTCTGGATTCTTAATCCAATTAACTGCATTCGCTGAATCAGACTCAATATTAGCCTGCCCTTTCCACGCCACTCTGAAGCCTCAAACAAAGCTAATCCAGCTAGGATGGCCTTCAATTCTGCTAAAAACGGGGGGCCAGAACCCGCTGAATCCGAGGAGTCCAAAACTTTGCCCTCTACATCTCGTAATATGCCCCCAATACCACTGCTTTCCCAATCTCTTTGAACAGCCCCATCCACATTGACTTTGAAGAAACCCATGGGAGGGGCACTCATCAAGGCCGATGATAGACTAGATTTCTTGGACGGGATAAAGGAATCAGCCAGCTTTGGATCACCGACTAAGCAATCAAAAAGGACTGGACAATTAGGATACTTCGCCAAAAACCACTTTGCCACTCTGTATCTCAATATAAAGAACAAATTCTTAAAATCACATTTTCCCCTCTGGAAAATCATCTTATTCTTGCACTTCCAAACAGACCATAAAACAGCTCCCGGAATAAAATTCCAAGACAATAAAAAGACGTTAGGATGCTCAGAAAAAAACGAAGATAAATTCCACAATCTTAAAAAACACCCCCACAGACCCCATGCAATCGAGCAAGAAAAGAATAGATGAGATACCGTCTCTTGAGGCACACCACATAACGGGCATAGGTCGTTATCTATCCCACTAACACCACGCTTTATAATTTTCGATTTGATCGCCACTTTTCGATGCAGGACCTGCCACAAAAACGCCTCCACTCTAGGAGTAACAAAACCAGTTGACACCAGTTTCGACCAAATTGGATCTTCAGCAGCTCCTTCTGTCAGTAATTTAACACAAGAATTAACTGAATAAATGCCTTCCCCATTACCTGTCCAAACACATTGATCATCCGCATCAATCCGAATACTAACATTACCTAGAAACTATATTAATTCCATCCACTGTTCTACCTCCCAGTCCAATAAACTTCTTCGAAACTGTATGTCCCAACACCAAATCCCATTGTTATAAAAACCAAACTCGAATATTCTCCTGTCCTTATTCACGGATAGAGAGAACAATCTCGGAAATTTCATTTTAAGCATAACATTACAAATCCACCTATCAGACCAAAATAACAAAACATTCCCCTTTCCAACTCTCAACAGAATGTGATTCCTGAAACAAATGCCGAAATCATCATTCGACCCACAATTAGACACCACTCTCCACATCCAGGAAGACTTATAGGAGACCCCATTATCCGTCAAACTAAAAGTGTTATCCAAATTATATTTACAGCTTACCACTTTCTTCCACCATGACTCTTTTTCCGTTGCAAATTTCCAAGCCCATTTCCCCAAGAGAGCCCTATTCATAGAATTTAGATCAATAATACCGAGACCCCCTTGACCTTTGGATTTACACACAGTCTGCCAGTTCACCCAATGAATCCTATTCTTTTGAGAAGAGCCACCCCATAAAAAATTTGCTATAATTGAGTTTAGTTTCTTCAGAATCTTATTAGGCATTTTGAACAACGACATGTAGTAGATTGGAAATGCGCTTACGACCGACTTTACCAACACAACCCTCCCTACCAAAGAAAGAGTATTCGCTTTCCAACCTGTCAATTTCTTTTGACATCTTTGAATTATTGGTTCCCACAACGAAACCGAGTTTTTCCGTGCACCTAGAGGAAGACCAAGGTACTCTGTTGGGAAGTTTCCAACCGAACACCCAATTGAATCTGCCCACACTTTTAAACAAGAATCCTCCACATTAATCCCAAAAATTCTGCTCTGACATATTAAGTTGAAGCCCCGAACACAATTCGAATATAGCCAAAACTCTCTTCACATTCTTCAATTGCCCTTCCGATGCACCACAAAAAATTAACAAATCATCGGCGAACTGCAAATGAGACAGCGTAAACGCCGTATTCGTGCTTCCTAACTGAACCCCACTGAAAAGACCATAGTTACATAAATCGCTAGAGTTCCCACGATCTACGTACTGAACGCTTCGATCCAAAACGCGGTACGAACGCGTTCCGGATCTTTCCAAAATCGCGATTCGGTACGAAAGCTTCTACGATCCAAAGTTGACCATCCAATCGACCCAATTGATGTTCAAATCGCGACTTGAACCCATCGATTCATCGTTCTGAATAGAATAGAAACCAGAAAGGATAAATGAAGGATCTCACTGGGCTCCGATTTGGTTGCCGCACTGGTCACCTTGAATGTGAAGGATCTCACGCATCTTCGATTATGGAGAGAAGAGAAACCAAAAAGGAGAAATGAAGGGATTGAGAGAGAGAGAGATGGCAAAATAAGAGATAAATTGAAAATGGAAGTGGGAAGACGAAGAGCTTGGTTTGTTTTTTAGTATAAAAGTAACTTTTATGTTAAAACTATATTTTATTAGATTGAATTTTGTTTTTTTATTTATTATTATTATGTCAAACGATCCAAGTAAGGTAATTAAGAGTGTGTCGGTTGAGGTTGAGCTTTTGTTTTTTATTTATTTTCCTGCTTTGTTTGCTGGAAGTGGGAAGACAGAGCCTGGTTTGTTTTTTTCCTTTAACATAAATTATGGATTCTTTATCTTCTGATTTTAATTACTATAAATATTTTAAGTTAGTCTCACAGCACAGAGCCACAGACAGTGTCGATTTCCTTCACTAAGCAATAAACTCTTCTTTTCTTCTTCAATTTCTGTTTTTTATTACTGCAAATCTGCAATGGCATTTGGCCAGAATCATCGAAGAGATAGTGAGTATGATGAGAATGAGACTGGAATCAGTGAGACACAAGGTTACATTGACCTTGATGATGATGTGCAACAAACAACAACAGCAAGTGAGGGCAGTGGCAGTCATTCAGAAAAAGTAACCGAAGAGAAGGATCCTATTAAGCCACTCCTTGATGAAGTAACCTTAATTGGTGCAGGAAATAGCAAGAATGCGGGAGGTGCTAAACAATGGATTTGCAATCACTGTAAAGGCAAGTATACAAGTTCGTACACTAGAATTCATGTGCACTTCTTTGGAGCCCCATTGGGAAAAAAGGCTGAAATTAGAAGATGTCCTGTTGTAGCGAAAGATCGAGACACTTACGAACGGTTGCAAAAGAGGGTGAAAGATGCCGAGAAGCTAGGAGTTTCTAAGTCGTTAAAAAGCTCTATAGTTACAAAAAGACAGAATTTAAGCTCTAAGAAACTGTTAGAGCAATCTTTTTCTATAATGGAGAGAAGCGCGATAGATTTAAAAATCGTGAGGGCTTTATGTGCAAACGGGATCCCGTTTAACGTTTTGCGTAATCCACAATTTCGTGAAATGATAAATGCAATAAGAAAGGCACCTGAAGGTTATAAAGCGCCATCTAGCGAGAAAGCAAGAACCGTTCTACTAGATGAATGTGTTAGAGATGTGGAGAAGGACCTAACACCATTTAAAGATACATGGTACTCACAAGGTCTTTCTATTGTATCTGATGGGTGGACAAACATCAAACAAAAACCCTTAATCAATGTTCTTGTTGTGAACAGTCGTGGTTCTATGTTCATGTATGCCGAAGATTTTTCTAGGGTGGAGAAAACGGGAAAAGCAATTGCTGAATTTCTGATCCAAGCGATTGAATCTGTCGGCCCAAGTAATGTTCTCAGTGTCGTCACAGACAACGCAGCCAATTGCAAACTAGCGGGAAAGGAAATCGAAAAGGTATACAAGCATATTTTTTGGTCACCATGTTGTGTGCATACATTAAACCTGATTTTTAAAGACCTTGCAAATGAGTTTATTTGGCTAGAGGATACATATAAAAAAGGGAAAATGATTGTCAAATATTTTTTGAACCATGGACAAGCTTTATCCATTTTTAGAGACAATTCTAAGTTAGAGCTACTAAAGATTGCAAAAACCCGTTTTGCCTCTCACTACATTTTGTTGAAGAGGTTAAACACTTGTAGAGAGGCCCTTTCAACAACAGTTGCTCTAAATTCATGGAGAGATTGGGCAAAACAAGGCGATGAACATACTAGAACTATTGCACAGCTTGTTGTGGACACTATCAGAGATGATGATTTTTGGAACGAAGTTGAAAACATTCTTTGGAACGAAGTTGAAAACATTCTAAAAATCACGAAGCCTATTTTCTTGATGGTGAAGTTTTGCGATGGTGAAGGCCCAAAAATGGGCGAAATATATGAGAAGATGGATAATATGATTGGAGAAATCAAAGACGTGATGAAGGAAAGTATGTATGCATCTTATTTCCCTCAAGTAGAACAAATTCTATTGAAAACGTGGGAGAAAATGAACATACCTTTACATTGTTTGGGATTTGCTTTAAGTCCTCGATTTTATGACACATTTTCTTGAAACGTTAGCACCGGGTGGCATACGAAGAAAAGCACCTAACCTTGATAAAGAGGTTGTACAAGGTGTCATGGAATCTTTTAGTCGCATTGCTGAAAATAGAGACGAGGAACGGATGTTACGAGAACAATTTGCCACGTTTCACATGAAGAAGGGTCTTTATTCATTACATGCAGCTCAATTGGATGCGAT